ATTGATATTGGCCAGCCAACATAAGCAATAACTTATTATTATTGTTATTATTACTTATAATAATAATATATTATTCTTCTACTAAGCACTTATCCAGCATACGAACAACAATCAGATATAGGTCGTCATAGTTAAATAAATAAATAAATAGTTCCGTGCACTGCACATATAAAGTTATAGGTCAAACTGAGCTGACACCAGCATAATTAAGCTTGCACATCATTATTGTGAAACCGCCAGCAGATAACCTAACGTAGCTGATGTCAACCTATATTCGATTAAGAAGTGATTGGACAATGGCCAACACATAGTAACGGTATATGTAAATAGTCATAAGGTGGTAAGCATGTCTATATAAGCCATGAATTGTTAAATTAAATTCAGTATGCAAGTTATCAACGAACGACCTGTTACTTTGGGGCAATGTGGGAACCGGTGATTGTTTTACCACGTCACCCGAACTTCATGCTCCCAAGGATCACCAGGCGGTATCCTTGGTCATCTGTAGGACCACAAGCGCCCTTTAACTTAAACACATCAGGACAACGATCGTCCTGCCCACTTGCACTACCGCACGTGTGCGAATAAACAAGTGTTCATGATCTCCCAGCCTACCTATACTCGAGCATAAAAGCATAAAAAGGTAAATAGAATTTAGGTAAAAAAAAAACTGCGCCGTCCCAAGACTTGCGGACTTTACATTGAATGTGCTTAACTTTACATACATATATGTATATTGCTTGTGTTGTGTGTTTACATAAGTGGATGTTAATTGTTCATTTCTTTGTGGTTTCTTTTCTTGCGATTTGTTTTTTATTCTGTGTTATGTGGCTATTAGAGTTTGTGCTAAAGAATGTATATAATTATAGCCTGTACCCAAAGTGTAACAGGCTATACTAGTTTTGTGCGAATGTATGTAACACACAGAAGGAGGTGTGCCAGACCCCACAAAATATATATATTATTGGTCAGGGTCACAAGCCCAGTCGATATAGCCATGTCCGTCTGTGTTAGCACAAGGAAGGTACAAGAGCTAGAATGACCAAACTTGGTATTCAGGTTTTTCCTGACCCCACAAAGTATATATATTCTTGATCAGGATGAGTCCAGTCGATATAGCCATGTCCGTCTATCCGTCTGCATGAACGCAGGAAGTACAAGAGCAGAATAACCAAACTCGGTATCCAGATTCTCGTAAGTCTTCGAATTTTGTACTCAAATTTGGCAAATACATCCATATAGTGATAATGTGTCTGTGTGCCAAGTTAAATCATGATAGGTTAATTATGAAATTATAACCATAAACATAATCTCTGCCCATGCTCTATCGGCAGGGGTTTCTGCTTTGATTTATTTTTTTACTGCATACAAGCACGCATAAACACAATTCTGATGTAAATGTATGCTCCTGAAAATTGTACATAAACACTTGTGTCTGTATGCATGTGTTAAATATTTTATATTTAACTAGCAGGTATTGCCCGTCTTAACCCGGCTCAATATAATGTTTCCAATTGTATTTATTTTGTGTGTGCATAACCTACCCATATGTTTTCACCTTATAAGTTACCAGTAGGAAGGCATTTAAGGTATTTAAATGAACATTTTCTGTTCTTGACAAAAAATTGTTCAGTAGTCCGTTACATTTTTGTTCTTGCCAAACTATTTCGTTAAACGAACATGACCACTATAACTAATATTTTTTAAAGCTCGTTTTCCCCCCTTCGGAGCTAGAATTTTCCAAAAGCCTTTCTTAGTGTGCTCCTACACTATGGATACTATGAAAGCATACTTGAGTCCAAATTTCATCTTTTACCAATTAGTCAGGACAAACTGTTTTATATATAGAGATAACGCAACGTTTTAAGATAGACTATGTGAAAAAAAAGGGGAATAATTATAAGGGTATATCCTAATTTTAAATTCACATTTGAGTCTTTTCGTGACATACTGAGTCAATACGGTCACGCACAAACTCGGAATATGAAACACGGCACTCGTGTCAATGCCGTGCAGCGATGAGCCACGATCAAAAAGCACTGACAATTCTCATCTCAATTTGCTAGAGTAAACTTTCGATAGTTGAAGCCACCGATACCATCAAAATATCGAAGTTTGAATGCAATAAGCAGAATATTTAAATAATAAAATCTAATTATTTATTGAGATCAATAAGAATAAATCATATACATACATACATCTGCCCGCAATGCGAAGCAGAATATGCGTAGCTCCGTTATTCGGTTTCTGCTTTACTATCGCTTACGCAGTCGTTGCCTAGCGACGGTAACTGTAAACTTTTGGCGTTTTGCCTTTGCAATTAACATTAAATGGTCACAACGAAAGACGAAGAGCGACTTGCAGTTGTTGTTGTTTTTAGAGCATTATTTTTTTTACAATCAAACAACTGTGTTCGATTGCCCAATGTATACATTAATACGAATGTACATGCTATATTCATACACAGGCATACATATGTATGTTTCTCTTTACTTTTTCAACCATACGTAGAGAACCGCACACATAGACACGAACTGTTGCTTGTTGTGTGTGAGTGTGTGTATGTGATGTCCCCAACTATTTGATATTTGTTGTTGCTACATAAAGTTATTAATGAAAACCCTAATGCCAAATGCACTAAACAAAGAAAAAATTACTTTTAAAAATGTTATATAATTTTCAATTAATTAACATTTCTTGCTCTGTCAGTGCAAGACGAATGTACATACATATGTAAGTTAGCTGCAAATGAAACACTCCAAGTGTATATTAACACAACTAAATTACTTTATTAATTCAAATGGTGTTATGTGCGGCGCGGCAGTATTGGAAAACCACAAATGTCGTCGGACAAAAGGAGTGGCAACTCGCGCGATTGACAGCTGGAGCGGGCCGATAACAAGTACTCGTGCGTGAGGGGTGAGGACCAGTGCTACCAATTAGAAGGGTTGCAAAGTGGGGAAATTATCGGTTCCTTGGGAATGGCAATAAGTAGTTTCCGGCAAGGCCAAAGGACAGTTTTGGCAAGTGAAAAAAGAGACGTGCACGTGGTAGTGGGAACGCAGAGGAAGGTGACTAAAAACGCTAATCATATAACAGAGTGGCGAAAAGGGGACTGGAGAGTACACTAGCGGAATTTCGTATGCTGAGGTAAGAGTTTTAGAAGAGGCCAGTATGCCAATGGCTAATCTCTTACCGTTTGTGACAGGAGTAGCAGTAGAAGAGCGGCCTGTAAAGTGTGCTGTGCGCGGGTCGGCGCCGAGCGTCGGTGCAAATTTTCATACCTGCTGCGGAAGGCACCAACCGCCGATATTGTATCTTGGGCAGGACCTCGGCCATAGCGGGAGCCAGACCATCTGTCATTTCTGTGGAATCCGGGCTAAGTACCCCTTTTTGACGCACCGTCTACATATAAGCACAATTTAAGCACAGACACAATAATTATATACAGCCCACACACATATTCCGCTCATACATAGAACACAAAATTTTATATACTCCACACACTCCTTTATATACACTCCATACATGTTCACATACACCGTATTCAAACACACACCGAATTTCCATAGCACTCAGACTCACATTCATCCCATAGCCACATAATATAAAATACAAAGCAAAAGCAACACCCAAACATTTAACCATATTGTAACACACACACGCCCATAGCCACATAATATAAAATACAAAACAAAAACAACACCAAAAGAAAATACACATGTATGCCATAGACAAAATTCAAAATACACACCCATTCATATACAAGTCACATAACAATACAACACACAAAACAATTAACAATTTTCTGTTACACACATAGCCCAAACAATCACAACATAATATAAAACATTAAACAGAAACACAACACCAAACAAGTAACCATATTGTAAACAAAAATTCAAATGTATACTTAAGAAAAAAGAACATAAAAAAAAGGGTAAAAGAAAAATGTACAAAATCTAATATAAGTAAAGGAGGTTGGAATGTGTATTGGATCGGCGCAGTTTTTTTTTTGTTTATCTCCTTGTCATTACATATCATTACACCCCTCATAACCACATACTCGAGTATAGGTAGGTTAGGAGGTTCGAAAATCGAATAAGATAAATAGGCACAAAGAGCCAACAAACTGCAGCGTCCCAAAACTCAATGGCCTAAATACACGAATATATTTTTATTGTAATAAAATTGAAAATTTGAAAATGAATCTGGAGTAGAATCCATTTATGGGGTGAGATGGGGTGACTAAAGTCCCGGAGCAGAAGGAAAACCAAACCAAACATGTCGAAGGGAGCCGGCAACGAAATGCCAAAACCGGCTCAAGGTAGGGAGGGCCACGCGGCTACACGACACCAAAGTAGCCACAACTCCACCCAAATTCCACAGGCGTCCCTCAGCCGACAATATGAGTAGGTGTGTTTGAAAAAAAATATAAATTCATTGTTGGTCTGCCGCACCCCTGTCGCGGTCGAATCTGACCCTGAGCCGATGGCTAGCCGGCGTAACGACAGGGGATGCACTGGCAAAGGCGGACATAACAAGATGGCGCCCAACATAAATACACCTGGGTCTACATTTTAGCAAATGTTGCCCCAGTTCGAAGCGAAGTTAAAAGCCAGAGTCTTGTTGTTTGTTTTTTTTGTTGATTTGTATTCTTTATTTAGTGTTTACGTGTAAATTTCAACAGCAATAGCTGCTGGCGGCCCCTGAGCCGGCGGGAAACGGTGCAACTGCCAGGTCCGTGGGTGAGCTTCACTAGGGCTCAGCCCATCGTTGCCGCAGTTGCATCTTTCTTACAGCGCGGTGTAGGTTGGTAACCAGCAGAATAGGCGCAGCGAAGGAGCGAGTGTAGCAGGTCCGTGAGGGGTCTTGGTGCCCACTCATTGTTGCCCTACAGGGTGTTCTGAGGCTGGGAAGATAGAGAGGAATGTCTGTTAGGTGTTAAGTAAAGAATAGTATAGTTGCCTTATGTTTTTTTTGTGTTAGTTACCGTTTTTTTTGTAGTTGTTTGGTAGTTCTTATGTATGGTTGCGTAGTAGGTCCATGTCCTGTCCCAAGCGGAAGGAGCATCGTTGCCCTACGTAGCAGAGCATAGGAGCAGCAATTCGCCATAGCCCGAGCAAGATTTGAGTTTTTAGTCGGCGCCTGGAAGAAATTGGGTGGTGTAAAGCGTGCGATACATATGTGTTTGTTTTGGTTGTTTACCTTCTACAGTGACTGCGTGCCGTGGTGCAGCGTCATACTGAGGATCCTCATCTCACCCTTACATGTCTAGTGTTGAGCCTGTGAGAGTAAAGAAAGATTGTTTTGATTTATGCGATTGTCTGTTAGTGTTAATTACCTTTTATTTATTTATTTGCGTAGCAGCAAATAAATTATCAATAGACAGGGAGTCCATTGTGAATGGTCCCGGTCAAGCACAGCTGTTCCTGGGCTGAACCATCGATATTAATAAGTATCGACAGGGTATTTTGGCACAGTTTAGCAGGTCTGTGCATAGGGCGGGAATTTGAAGTTCAACTTATCGTTAGTTTGTTTTTTTTTGAGTAGTATTTTCACTTAGTATTTTTTTTTGTTAAGTCTTTTGGTATACATTTATTTATTCTCATTTATTTATTCTTATTTATTTATTCTTATTTATTTATTCTTATTTATTTATTATTTATTTATTTATTCCTTTTTTTGGTTGTGTGTTTGATGGTATTCCTATATATATATACATAAGCATTTGATTGGATTAAATATTCCAACGGGTACTTAGCTAAGGATATTATCCCCGCTTATCATTTAAGAAAACACATACATACGAGTGGACCGATCTATTTATTTATTCGGAGTTTGCTCGTTTATAATATAGATATAGTTTTTTTTGATATTATAATCGGCGGGTACGGATCCGAGTACTAGCAGTGGTTTTTTTTTGGTTTGGATTAACAAGGTACTGGGAAATGAATCTTGACCCGAATGTTACCCGGAAGGTCAGGCGGAGTCAGGAGTTTAGTAGAAATAGGCCATTGGTTCACTTGGACTCTCCTCCTCACGTAGAATTGAGTGAGGCGGGCAAGCCAGCAGAAGCACTCCATGATGACGCATCGCCGCCGAGTGTAAACGAGGCAGCGTTCCGAGGATTCGGGGATGAATTTCCGAACAGTTCCGGAGCAACAGCCGGCGCACGCGCGCATGACTATGGCGGTGAAGAGCAGGGTGGCAGAGCCGAGTCTGCGCTGCCAAGCGAAATTCGGTCAGCGATCAACGTGGCATTAGCACAGGCCCACGAGACGTATCGCGCATCGTTGTCGTCAGAAGTAGAGGCCATTCGAGAGACGATGCAGGCCAGCATGCTGTCGTTCATGCGCGAGATTAATGAGGCAGTGGCAGCGCTGAGGCAGGAGAAAACGCATAGCGCGCCTCCGTCTGTAGCACAGGCGCCGGTGGGCAGGCCAGAGCGAGCTCACGCGCAGATGCAGCGGCCAGCCTTAGGCGGGTACGAGCCGGCAGAGAAAGAAAGAGATTTTGTAAGTGGTAGACCAGCAGCTGCAGCACCGACTCACCTGTTCGTCGACAACCGAACTTTAGAGGCAGAACAGCGGGCACATGTGGAGCAGCGGCAGTTCTCAGCCGATCCGTGGATGCGCGATTTGGGCCCTGACGTGCACAGGCCATTAAGGCGAACCACGATGGGAGACTCCCGGCCCGACGTCGTCCACATCAGAAAGTGGGGCCTTGTATTTGATGGCGAAACCAAAGGAATGCCGGTGGCAGAGTTTATATTTCGATTGGAGCATTTGCAGTCCTTGTATCAGGTGCCCTGGGCCGACGTGTTGCGAGACTTCCACTGCCTGGTGAACGGAAGAGCGAAAGATTGGTATTGGATGTACATACGTACCTCGGGCGTGCCGGACTGGCCGAATCTCCGATATGGGCTGCAACAGCAATTTCAGACTCGAAGATCGGAGTTTGAACGAGAGCAGGAGCTGAGGGAGCGGAAGCAGCGGCATGGCGAGAGCATAGAAGAGTATATTCAGGCGATGCTGGTGTTGCGTTCTCGGTTGGTGTGTCCATTTTCGGATTATGACCTTATTAAGGTGATAAAGACAAATATTAAAGACACCGTGTCTAGGGTCATCTATCCGATGCCAAGACGCCGAAAAGATGCTGGCAACGCGTTGGGCGCGGCCCTCAGCCAGTACCAACTACGGGCAGCAGCGAGAGCAGCATCGAGTACACGAGCTGGACGTGGTAGCAGAAGGTACAGAAGGCGGCCAACTGGAGCATTTGGAGGCGGTATATAGGCCACATGAAACTGGTGGGAGCCGCTCGAATCTCAAGTGTTGGAATTGTGCACAACCAGGGCATACATATTTCGATTGCGAGTCTGCGGTGCGCAATATGTTTTGCTTCAAATGCGGACAACCAGGCGTGGTGCTGCCAAGATGCCCGAAATGCCGTCCGGGAAACTCGGAGAGGAGTCCGACGCAGCCGGAGGAGTCGCACTCTCGATAGACGGTGAAACGCGTACCTCCGATGATACAGTAGTTAGGATAGGAATTAGTAGCGATAAGGATAGTACCGTTAGTCATATCTACTCACAGATATATAAAGTCAACCAGGCAGTCCCACCGAAGAAAGTATGGTCGCAGCGGAAACCCTTGGAGCAGCGTCAGCGCGACTATGAAGTAGCCAGGAACCGCATATTTGGTAGCCAGCACGAACCGGAGGCGAGAGGGGCGTCGAAGACATCCTTGCGGGCGCGTAGGAGACACCGCGAACGCCGACAGAAACGCCAGGCGGTGTGTGCCGCGGTGAATTCTGCATGTCGTTCCGATAGCCGCCCATATGCTACGGTAGCGATTGAAGGCAGAGAATTTACCGGTCTGTTGGATACCGGGGCGTCGGTGAGCTTGCTGGGAAGTGGTGCCATAGAGTCGGTCCGAAAACTAGGTTTGGTGGTACGCGAAAACAAATCCGCGGTAAGGACAGCCGGCGGCGCGCCACATTGCATTATTGGCAGCGTGATGGCGCGCGTTAGGTATAACGGAACAGAGTCGGAAATGGTATTCCACGTTTGCCCGTCGTTGTGCCAACCGCTTTATCTGGGCGTGGATTTTTGGCGCAGGTTCGGTTTGGCTCCGAATGGGATCCCGGCTGTGGACGAAGGACAGCACGTGGCTGAGTTGGAGGAGGAGCGCTTAGGAAAGGGTACACCAACGGAGCCACACGATTTAGAGGCGTGGCAACAGGAGAAGTTACAGCGAGTCGTGGCCCAATTCAGATCCTTCGAGGAGCACGGTCTGGGTAGGACGCCAGTGGAGCAGCACCACATCCAGTTGACGGAGGGGGCACTGCCAGTGAAAGAGCGTTTTTATCCCGTGTCGCCGGCAGTGCAGGCGCTATTGTTTGCGGAAGTCGACGAGATGCTTCGGCTAGGGGTTATCGAGCCAAGTGAGAGTCCATGGAGCAACCGAGTGACTTTGGTGAGGAAGCCTGGAAAGAACCGGTTGTGCTTAGACGCGAGAAAGCTAAATCAGCTCACGGTGAAGGATGCTTACCCACTCCAGAGCATTGAGTCGATCTTGAGCCGAGTGGAGGATACCATTTACATCAGCAGCCTGGATCTAAAGCATGCTTTTTGGCAGATCGAACTGGATCAGGAAAGCCGGCAGTACACCGCGTTTACGATACCAGGAAGGCCACTGTATCAATTTAAGGCCATGCCGTTCGGGTTGTGCAATGCGGCGCAGCGCCTTTGCCGGGTGATGGATAAGGTGATTCCCCAGCGTTTGAGAAGCCATGTATTCGTCTACCTGGACGACCTTCTCATAATATCCAGAACGTTTGAGGATCATTGCAAGGTGCTGTTCAACGTGGCAAGTGCTTTGAAAGTAGCCAATTTGACGATTTCCTTAAAAAAATCCAAGTTCTGCTGCAAGTACTTGAAGTATCTGGGGTTTGTGGTTGGCGATGGTGCGTTGCGGACGGATCCAGAGAAGGTCGAGGCGATCCGGGCGATTTCCTTGCCGACCAGCGCAAAGCAGCTCCGCCGATTCTTGGGGACCGCTGGCTGGTATAGGCGTTTCATTCGGAATTTTTCCACGATTTCCGCGCCGTTAACGGACTGCCTGAAAGGGAAAGGAAAGTTCCAATTATCGAGCGAAGCGGTTGCGGCATTTCAGGAGTTGAAAGGGGCACTCACCTGCGCGCCAGTGTTGGTGCATCCAGACTTTCGGAAGCCGTTCGTGAGCCAAGCGGGCATAGGAGCGGTTTTGTTCCAACTCGATGCAGACGGGGCCGAAAGGCCGATAGCGTTTTTTTCAGCGAAGCTTCGGGGCGCTCAGCTGAACTACAGTGTCACCGAGAAGGAATGCCTGGCTGCAGTAAAAGCGGTCGAAAGATTCCGGCCGTACGTTGAGTTGATGCCGTTTAAGGTGGTGACTGATCACGCCAGCCTGCGGTGGCTGATGTCATTGAAGGAGTTGGACGGTCGATTAGCGCGGTGGTCGTTGGCCCTGCAGAGGTTCGACTTTAATATTGAGCATCGGAAAGGCAAGGAAAATATTGTAGCCGATACCCTCTCACGGCCTTTCGAACTGGAGGAAGTTGATTTTTTTGACTTCGAGACAACCGAGTTCGAAGGTGCGGAGTATACCGAGCGGCTGAAGCAAGTGCGGGAGAACGCGGAGCTATTTCCGGATTTACGCGTGGAGGATGGGCTGTTGTATAAGCGGGCGCAGTTCACGCGGCCCGAGCGAGAGGAATTTTCCTGGAAGCTTTGGGTACCGCGTCCTGTGTCCGCAGCCCTTATACAGCAGGCCCATGAGAGCGACGCGGCTATGCATGGGGGCATGAAGAGGACCATAGAACGGCTCAGGCAGTTTTTTTTCTGGCCCGGGATGGTGGCACAGGTGAGGAGGTACGTTGCCGGCTGTGAAACGTGCAAAGCAACAAAGTACAGCACGCAATTAGCGAGGCCGGTAATGGGCGCCGAAACCGTATCGCTCCGACCAATGCAGAGGCTGTATCTGGATTTTCTGGGGCCGTATCCGAGGTCCAGGAGAGGGAATACCACCATTCTGGTTGTTCTTGACCATCTGTCCAAATTCGTGTGGTTGCGAGCGATGCCAAAAGCAACCGCGGCGGCAGTGGTCCGGTTTCTGCAGGAGGAGGTGTTTCCGGCATTTGGAGTCCCAGAAACCGTCCATACCGACAACGGTAAGCAATTTGTGGCCAACCAATTTACGGGGTTCCTGCAGGGGCTGAGCATCACCCACATACGCACGGCGAACTATGCCCCACAGGCGAATGCGGCGGAACGCGTGAACCAGACAGTGTTAGCGGCCATCAGGACATATGTACAGGGCGACCACACGAAGTGGGACGAGAAGCTCTCTGACGTGCAGTGTGCAGCACGCAGTGCTATCCATGGCAGCATCGGCACGTCCCCGTATTTCGTTTTGTTTGGGCAGCACATGTTCACCAGCGGGAAGGATTACAAGCTGGCACGCAAGTTGGGGGCGCTGGAGGATGCGGAATTGCGCATGTTGCCCAGATCGGATCAGCAGAAGGCAGTGCGGGATGAGGTACAGCAGAGCGTCCATCTGGCGTATGAAAAGGCGAAACGGCAATACGATAAGCGTGCGAGGATGGTAGCGTACGTACCTGGCCAAGAGATTTACAGGCGAAACTTTGTCCTCAGTCGTTTTAAGGACAACGTGAACGCGAAGCTGTGCCACAAGTATGTGAAATGCCGTGTCCGGAGCAGCGTGGGCAACAGCCTGTACGAGTTGGAGGACATGCACGGGCGTCGGTTGGGAGTCTTCCACGCCAAAGATTTAAAGCAATAGCTAAGGCCCGGCTTTGTTCGTCGGTAGACCGAGAGACCCATCTCAGGGTGTGGGCGGTGGCCTACGTTGGGCAGAGAAAGAACCGCGGCGCTTCTCACTCCCGTTTCTTCCGTGTGACACCAGAATAAAACCGGAGTGTGGTGTTATGTGCGGCGCGGCAGTATTGGAAAACCACAAATGTCGTCGGACAAAAGGAGTGGCAACTCGCGCGATTGACAGCTGGAGCGGGCCGATAACAAGTACTCGTGCGTGAGGGGTGAGGACCAGTGCTACCAATTAGAAGGGTTGCAAAGTGGGGAAATTATCGGTTCCTTGGGAATGGCAATAAGTAGTTTCCGGCAAGGGCAAAGGACAGTTTTGGCAAGTGAAAAAAGAGACGTGCACGTGGTAGTGGGAACGCAGAGGAAGGTGACTAAAAACGCTAATCATATAACAGAGTGGCGAAAAGGGGACTGGAGAGTACACTAGCGGAATTTCGTATGCTGAGGTAAGAGTTTTAGAAGAGGCCAGTATGCCAATGGCTAATCTCTTACCGTTTGTGACAGGAGTAGCAGTAGAAGAGCGGCCTGTAAAGTGTGCTGTGCGCGGGTCGGCGCCGAGCGTCGGTGCAAATTTTCATACCTGCTGCGGAAGGCACCAACCGCCGATATTGTATCTTGGGCAGGACCTCGGCCATAGCGGGAGCCAGACCATCTGTCATTTCTGTGGAATCCGGGCTAAGTACCCCTTTTTGACGCACCGTCTACATATAAGCACAATTTAAGCACAGACACAATAATTATATACAGCCCACACACATATTCCGCTCATACATAGAACACAAAATTTTATATACTCCACACACTCCTTTATATACACTCCATACATGTTCACATACACCGTATTCAAACACACACCGAATTTCCATAGCACTCAGACTCACATTCATCCCATAGCCACATAATATAAAATACAAAGCAAAAGCAACACCCAAACATTTAACCATATTGTAACACACACACGCCCATAGCCACATAATATAAAATACAAAACAAAAACAACACCAAAAGAAAATACACATGTATGCCATAGACAAAATTCAAAATACACACCCATTCATATACAAGTCACATAACAATACAACACACAAAACAATTAACAATTTTCTGTTACACACATAGCCCAAACAATCACAACATAATATAAAACATTAAACAGAAACACAACACCAAACAAGTAACCATATTGTAAACAAAAATTCAAATGTATACTTAAGAAAAAAGAACATAAAAAAAAGGGTAAAAGAAAAATGTACAAAATCTAATATAAGTAAAGGAGGTTGGAATGTGTATTGGAGCGGCGCAGTTTTTTTTTTGTTTATCTCCTTGTCATTACATATCATTACACCCCTCATAACCACATACTCGAGTATAGGTAGGTTAGGAGGTTCGAAAATCGAATAAGATAAATAGGCACAAAGAGCCAACAAACTGCAGCGTCCCAAAACTCAATGGCCTAAATACACGAATATATTTTTATTGTAATAAAATTGAAAATTTGAAAATGAATCTGGAGTAGAATCCATTTATGGGGTGAGAATGCAAAGTTGTAGATTTAGTTACGTAGATTACATTACCCAAATTTTAAATCGATCGGACTAAATTTATAACACAAACTTTTCATTTGAAATAGTGAATAATTATTAAAACCCCAATTATTCAAGCTCCAACACAAATTTCGAAAATCTAAGTATGCAGTTTTGTTTGTATTCTTTAAGTGATTTTAGAAACTAAGTTTTAAGTCGATCGGTTGAAAAATGCGGATTTTTCAAACAAACTTTGGAGCTACTTTTCCCCCCTTTGGAGCTCGAATTTTCCAAAATCCCTTCTATGGGGGAAAGGATATGAAAGGATACTTGAGTCCAAATTTCAGCTTCCTATCCTTTACCGTTTGGGCTGTGCGTTGATCACCAATCAGTCAGTCAGTCAGTCAGTCAGTCAGTCAGGACAAACTGTTTTATATATATAGAGATATATATATATATATATTTTTTTTTATTGTATTATTTTCTTTTTTCTTTTGCACTAAAATGGGGCGGCGCGTGGGACCCTGCAGGTACAGCTCACATCAAACAACACTTGGACGACAGGCGCGGTCTCTGCCTTGTTGTAGCTCAGACGCAAACAACAGGCACGGCGCGTTTCCAAGGAACGGACTCACCGGCTGATTCTTCCTCCACTGCGGATGGCGCAGACTCCTGCTCCTGCTACGATGCAGCTATTGATGGCGCTGCTGTTGCGCTGCGGATGGTGGTGTCGCTGCCGTTGTTGGATTTGCTGCTACTGTTGGCTGTTGCTGTTGCTCCTGTTGCGCTGCAGCCTGTACTGCTGTTTACGAGGGCCGCTGCAGCTGCTGCGCACAGTTCCACCGTTGTCCACGAAACTTGGCGATATGCCGGAAAAATCTATATGCCAAGGAACGAAAGGCATTAAAGCACCGGTCAGCACATTCAAGTGGATATATATAGTATATGGGTACGTATACATGGGCAGCGGTATTTATGCCCCTGTTTGCCCAACTTCTAACTGCTTGTAACACGCTTTTTTTTTTTTTTTTTTTTTTGTAATTCTAGGACTCAGCTTACTAACCAAAGAAAAAGGTCGCCGCCCCGTGGGTCCAAAAGGTGCGCCGGATGTCGTACCTCTGCAGATTTCTACGTCATTGCGCATCCGTTCATCGGGGCCTTGACCATTCCCCACTTTGGGGTGCCATCGGGACACAACCCTGCGCCTGCGCGACTGCAGTTGCCTCGCTAGGTACCGCTAGATGGCGCTGCAGTGCCAGCTTCAAATTTCGGCGCCTCCCGTAGAGCTGCCACTTTGCTTTTTTGTGACCAGCCCGACGCAACATATTTTAGGTTAATTTTGTATTATTACATTGTGCATTATGCAGAGCCATGTTCATAAAAATCACATTTTTAGGTTTTTGAAACCATAAGCTTGAATTATATTTAAAATTACTGTTCACTGCTTATTATACACAGCTTTTTAAGTCAAAATTAGACTATTGCGATGTACCAAATCTATGGGTAATATATACAATTTCTGTACGTATACTTAGGATAACAACCTAAGACACCTATTTGTCTGTTCAAATGCTCTAAAGCAAAGAAATCATAGTTGAGGAAAGGGTCAAAACGATTGCAAGGCCTTCACCTCATATTTTAAATGACACTATCTGTGATTAATGTTACTCATAAATTGGGTTGCACAATATTAAACGATGTTCAAATAGAATGCTTTAGGTAAATTTTTGGTAACCATGATGCAAACTAAAGTGTTCCTAACAGTTGCTTTTAGGTTTCTGAGGAGACAACATCGCGGTCGGGTATCAGTGTTCAAGTTTTTTCGTTTTTCTGCTAACGGGCAGTTCGTGGAATTTGAATTTATCAGCAACTTTTTTCGGTTTTAATGTGCTACAGCACATTACTTCTTGATTTGCAACTTTTAAACTAATTAAAGGATTCGATTTCAACAGAAACGCAGCATTTGTGCGGAAAAGTGCACTTCGAGGCTTTATGGCAGGCAGGAGTAAAGCTGGTCGTCCGATAGGACAAGTATGCACCACCGGGGTTTTTGGGACCACCAGTCGCCGCGCCAACCCTAACGAGGTGCCCAAAAAGGAAGAAGCACCATCAGTTCGCAGAACTAAAGAGGGAAAGAACGACGCGCCAGCCAAATGCGGCCCAACCAAAAGCGCGCCAAATACAAGTGTTGGTAAACAGGCAACTGCGGTAAATGACGTAAAAGTTGACAAGGACGGACTTTCATGTAAGTCGAAAAATTCCAAGATTTCTACCACTTCTGATGAAATAAATGCGGGAAGCAAAAGTGTGGTCGACAAGGAAATTGTGGTTGCCATGCAGTATGACGGGGACCACAAGGGTCCTTTTATTGTTTATGTGGACAAGGCCAGCGAAATGGGAGTACGCAAAGCGATTAACCAATTCGAGTTAATCGAGCTGCTCTCTTCGCTAAAAATCAGTGGCATAGAAGAAGTAAGCAGGATAGGGCATGGCAGGTGTAAGGTCACTTGTGTGTCGGCGCAAAGTGCCAATGACCTGGCCTCATTGGAAGCTCTCGCTGTTCACGGCTTCGAGGCCAACATTTTTAAGCATTTCACTAGAAAGGCTGGGATTATTTTTAACATTCCCACGTATATGTCAAACGACCACATGATGGAACTCCTGTCGGCGGACATTCCCATAATGCAGGTGGAGAGAATTTTCAAAAAATCAAGGGACACAGGGGACTTGGTCCCTACCTCCAGAGTAAAGATCTGGTTTAAGGGACACCAGGTTTATACACTTCAAACAATGCTTCCGTTGCTTACGTTTTGGCCATATGGCCAAGCACTGCAAGGGGAGTGCACGGTGCTATAAGTGCGGAAAAGAACATGAGAGAGAGGACATTTGCACTGATATTGCTTGTGCCAATTGCAAAGAAGGCCATATGGCAACATCACCCCATTGTGCAGCCAGACAAAAGGAATTCGCTATTCAAAAGTGTATGGCCTTGGAGAATATGTCCCGAGCAGAAATTAAGAAGACTCATCCGTCTCTCTTTAAGAGGACGGTGCCTGATCTAAGAGATCAGTCAGAATTCCCTTTTTTAAGAAGGCTAAATAATAGCTCAGGAAAGCGCGAGTACAGCAGCCACGAAGTGGCGAAGGAGGTGCATCCCATTGCACCATATGCCAGGGTAGCTAGGCTTCCAGGCAGAGCTCTCGGGGAAACATCCAAGCCCAAGCCGTCCAGATACGGCAATACAACTAGTCATAACTTGGCAGATACCGCTCACAGAGCGGAGGTGCTTGAAGTTGGTACCACCAAAGTGTCTTTAGCCCAAGAAAAACTTAATATAGTGGAAAAGAAAATATCTAACTTCATAACGGACCCAAATAGCGGAGCGGGTCCATCTCTACAGTTCTGGGAGGAAATCAGGGATCTCATAAATGCTGCTAATGCGGAGCTAGATGCAAATCAAATTTGCATCGCCTCGGCCTTGACAAGCACAGCAACAATATGAGAATCCTCCAATTCAACATCCAAAGCCTGACTTTCAACAACAACAAACAAATTCTTCACATGTTCCTCCTAAACAACAACATAGACATCGCCATTCTGTCGGAAATATGGGTGAAAGACAATTCAGAGTGTGGAATTCCTGACTTTAACTTTTATGGAAAGCCAAGGGAAGACGGATACGGTGGAGTAGGGATGTACATAAGAAGGGGAATCAAATTCAAAATCCTAAAGATCAAAAACGACATGGAATGTATGGGCATTCAGACCCTAAATCTAAAGAGAAATTTGTGCCTTTACGGTATCTATGCGGCCCCCTCATTATCAGTGTCTATCCTGAAAAAGGGGGCAAAAGAAATTTTCGAGTATGCGGCATCATTGAGCATTGCTTCACTAATATGTGGGGATTTTAATGCCAAATCCACAACATGGGGCAGCTCCAGTAGCGACGGCAAAGGACATGGCTTGGAACGGGCGGCAGCTAACTCGGGCTTTGTATGTATGAACGACAGCTCCCCTACGTTTTCTCGTTGCCCAGGTCAAAGCTCGGTGCTGGATCTGACTTTCTGCAATACGAGTAGTATTCAATATAGATGGCAGGCTCAAAGCAGCAAACTAACAAACAGCAACCATTTTCCAGTCTTAATAGACTTGGTCCAATTCTGCGCGAACACAAGTCACAAAAAGGTACTTCATAATAGGATTGCGAGAGTTTTCGCTAATAGTGACTTTTCAAACCTGGATTCACTCAATGGCAATGTTCGCCTTATCACAAAAACCAATACAATTACGGTCTCAAGCAAAAACAAATATGTACCCAAGAGATGGTGGAACGAGGAAGTTGACAAGCTGTTTCGCCTTAGAAATGCCTGCAGGAAAAAGTTCTATTTCACC